GCAGCCAGGCTAGGAGGACAGTGTCGAGGGACTTTGGAGCCACAGATGCCAGACCTGTCAGTGGGGCAGGCTGAGGCACCACACCCCAATTGTTCCTTTTACTTTCCTCCTAAATTGTTTTGAGTTTTGCAGAGCCCCGAAGAAGGGAGAGGGGCCAAGGGCAGCCTCCACAGGCCAGGAGGAGCCAGAACAGCACAGCAGGTAGCAGTGTGGGGAAGGAAGAACCAGCACTTTGTCTGGCACAGGCTGACGTCCCGTGGTTGTCTCGTATGGAAGGAGGCCAGATGACTAGCAAGGAGAAGAGGAAGCAGGTGAAGACAGCAGAAGGGTGAGCCAGCGATACAACATCTGGTCGTCCTGAGAGTTGGTGCATGGCCGGGGTGGAACCCCGAGAACACCCACTAAGGGCAGCACCTGGTCCACAAGAAGCAACAAGAAGGAATGCCAACACTGAAGGAAAAGACCAAGCCATGGCAGGAGAGTATCAGGGCTTTCTTTGGGGTGAACATGACCCAGCGTCAAGGCTGCTGGAACACACCCTGTGGCCAGCACCAGATGCATGCTCCAAAGCGGCAAGAGAGCACCTCCACAAGGCCAGATGGGTGCATGCACAAAGAGAAAAGTAGCCACAGGTGAGTTGAAGGAATAATAATATTTTCATAATGGGCATATATTGTAAGCAGCTGGGGCCAAATTTGGTGAAGCAAACTTAGCATCAATGCCTCCTGACACAACTGTACTTGTAGCAGTCCAAGGGTCTTAAGCATAAAAAATATATAGTTAACTCGACCAGTAGAGACAAACAGGGACAAAGAGCATCTCTCATAATCAAAGAGTAAGGAACAGATTTTCCAAAGATAGGGTAGGTGATTGAGGTTGTTTGATGTGAATGCTACAGACAGTTTAATCTCAGGAGGGATGACATATTATATATGCATGCTGCCATGGCACATCAGTTTAAATTCCACAGGGTCATAAAGGAAACTGAAGCCCAAAACAATACCATGAGGCTGTAGATTAACTTGCCTTGAATCATGCATACATGCAAAAACAACCATCATACACAAGTGGTTGCAGATACTCAAAATCAAAAATAACTTTAATTAAAGCAATTAACTAATTGCCTACAAGTAAAATGCAGAGTTTTTATTAGGAAAGGAAAAGATTTGGTTGCAAACAGAAAGAGGCATATCTATTAGTATTCCTGTCTTCATTTTTCTGTACTGTACACAACATTGGAAGTTGTTGGTACTAAACAAATAAATGTTTAAATAGCTGCAAAAACATTTAACTTTTCTGTGGTAGTAAATGACTCAGTTTATTTCACATGGGTGCCATTTAACTGAAAAGAACTATTTGAATTTAAGGGGAAAATACTCTCCTTTGAATGCTGTTTTTAGGGACATTTTGACATGTTGATTTGGCTTAACTGTAATTTTGCCTGAAGCTTACTTTATTTTTTTTACTAAGTATATACTTTCTGGTGTTTTTTCATCAGGATAGTGTATACCACCTCTCTCTGAGAGAAACCATTAATTCGACCTCTGTCCTTTCTCCAAGACCAAGCCTGGACAAAGTGGAGAGGAATGGCTTTCTTTGTAGCAAGCTTCTCTCTTCATAATAACAAATCTAAAATTTACACTGAAACTAGCAAAGACACACAACTAAGTTAGCATCCCGTTAGTTCTCCTTACTAAGGTAATTAAAGATGATTTTTGTTAATAAAGCATATGAAGGAAAGCATGACAAGAGCATTATGTTAGTAACTGTATAAAAAAAAGAAAATCTTCTACATGTAGGGTATGCCACAAAAGAGTAATTAAAAGATAGTGAAGCAAAACTGTGCAAAGGCACTGTGATGTTAGGGGCCAAAATCAAATCTGCATAACAGCTGCATCCATTGGAGATGTGTTAAGGGTCATTGTGCATCAGTTGTATATTGTGACATCCATACAGCTCTTCCTGATTTATCTTGATAAGAGATAGGGACCTTTTGGTTTCAAAAGAAGTATATTCATATTTGCATTTGAAATACTAGGTCTTGGGAGTAGGAGGAAGCCTCCAGATGTGTCAGCATTGCAATCGAGTCAGCATTGCAGCTCAGGAAGGCACGCAAATAAATTTAGCAGCTTGTGTGCTGGTACCAGTGTAGCTGTAGCAACATGGCATAAGCCTAACCAAGACCCTGAGTACTTACTCACCAGCTAAAACCCTTGCCACAGCAGCCTCATAGCTATCAAGATGAGAGCTAGCTAGTAGCTAGATTGTATCTGGTTTAGATTTGTCTCCACAAGCTACATTTGCATTCCCACTTGTCTAGATCAATTATTCTCTGGTGCCTTGGGGTGCCTTGAGATCCTTTCAAGGGTGCTATGGGGCGTCACACAATGTTAGTCACTGTTAGGCGTGCAAACATGATTCACAAGATAAAGCCAGGGATCTCAAATAGGAATCTATAGTGTTAAAAATGTTCTGACCTAATGTGGGCTTTCTGAGTTATTTGCAGCAGAAAAACTGCTCTCTGGTTTTCCTGTAGTCAAAAAACAAGTGAAAACTAAGAGCTTGAGTTTTCAGAGTGGTACCTCAAGTCTCGTGAGAGGTTCTGCGAGTCGGATGTGGGGTTTCTCAAGTAGACAACCGCTGGGCAAACTGATGTAATTGACAGTTATATCACTGAACCTCTTCTAGATGCTATCATTGACATTTATGACATTTTGTAAACAAAATAAATATTAAGTATTCTTTCAGGAGGCTGGAGGGACTAGGCAAGAACCCTGCTGTAATTTTTTAAAGATTTAAAGATTTAAATTTTAAAAAAGAGTGGATCTACAAAGAAACCAAAGAAGGTTCTAGGATGAGGCTACATGCAGACAAAACAACATTTTGAAACCATGTGTCAGTGAGTGAAAATGTGGAGCTGTTAAGTACATTCTGTATTATGGTGCTTGTGGTATTGTCAGGCTGATGCAGCATCAGAAGAACACCACAGGATTGTAATCATTAGCCAGTAGCAAGAATGACATCAATTTATATCACTTATGCTAAATTGCTTGGTTCCTGTCATTATGCTGAAAAGCAAGAAGACTAAGAAGGTTATTGTCTTGTAAACATCATTTGATCTCTGCTCTACCACTGTCTTCTCAACATTTTGAAAATGATTGTCCAGCTGTTTCCATAGATACATGTTTATTTGTGTGATGATTCCTGAATTGATGTAGATCTGAAAGGTCATATTAACATTTTGCAAAGCAGTTTTCCATTCCTATGGCAACATTTTTTATGATAGCGTATAGAATCTTACAGCTTGTTGGCTTAACAGCATATCCACAGCAGCTCTTTTAGTCCTTTTTTTCCTCACGTTTAGAGATCATCCCCTCTTCCTGTGTACTCCAAACATCGAGTTCCTGGTTTCTCTGTCTTCCTTGAGAGGTGGCAGAACTGCTGTTCTGTCTGGGAGCTTGGGCAATGTGTGTTTTTTTTTTGTTTGTTTGTTTTTTTAATTAAACCAAACATATTCTAGTGGCAAATGTACAGAAAAAGTAATAAAAAGTGACAGAGACTAAGGGCTTGTCTATGTGACATAAGACACACATGTTATTGCTGTGTCCGCTAGCTTCCAAACAAGAAGCAGTAGAGCCACATTAGTGTGGTGCCACATGGCGAGGGACTCTTTTGGAGGTCCCAGCATGGATGCCTCTTTAGCCTTCCCCTAGCAATGCTAGTGCTTGTTAGATTTTCAGAGTGAAATAAGCTAAATGAAATTGAAGTGATTTTAATTCTGAATAGGACTGCACACAGGGAGGGGTCACATGCAATTGAAGTAATTCACTTGAACATTTAGTTGTGATTGATTTACTGAGCCTCAGTTCCCTTTCCTCCAGTCCAGATGAAACCAAACAACAGAATGTTTCCTTTAAAAGCACTTATTCTAATGAATCCTTTTAGTTCAGAAGTAGGGTAAAATTCTGAATCATAAAATAAATAGGACTTAAGACTCTGGAGGGACTTATCCTTTTCAGGCACTTTTGAATATTTTACCCATCATTCCTAAAGAAATGTTAATGCATTGCCTTCCAGGTTTTAGTTGCAGAGGGTTTAGTCATGCTCTTGTGGGGTTTAATGGGTTACCAGCAAGTGTTCTAAGTCATGCCATGGCACATTAATTAAAGTTTCAGTCACCTGATTTGTTCACATCCATTTCTTCACACCAGTGCCACAGATATCTTCTTCACTCCCTATACCAGTATTAGTAGGCTCAGATACAACATAGTGAATGGAAAACTGGATGAAATGAACCTACTTCTCACAGTCATCATCTTCCTTTTTTATTTTTTGACCATTTTTTACAATAGGGAAATTAATCCAACATGGAACTCACAGACATTCTGGTATATGGTTAAAAATATGTTCTGCAGCTTGTCATTTGCAGATGAATGTAATTTGTCTTTCCTTTATCATTTCTAAACATTAATATAATTTACCAGTACTCTGTGTGATTAGCAAGATGCTCTATTGGTTTGGAGAAAATGAGGCCTTTGGATTTTTTTTAATGAACTTCTTCCTAGAGAGCTTCATGCTATGATAATTTCCTGGTTATATCTTTTAATGTTATGACAAGGATTTGGAACAGGAAAACTGGCTGGACTTAATCCAGCTTTGCAGTAATTACAATCGGATCAGTGCCTACGGCATTTTGTGTACGTGTTAGTTAAACGAACACAAACCAGTGCTAATCCATGCAAGCTGAGCAGCCCATCTAGAAGTTATCTATATCTATATGAAGGCTTCTCTTTTTCTCCTCACATGTCCATTTACACATCAACTATTGAAATTAAGTCCTGCTGCCTGCTGATGTCACAGACAAATAGACATGCCAGACTTCTTTTCAATGAAGGAAAGATAAAGGGGGAAGGGCTGGAGCAGGGGAGGGGAAGAACCAAAAGTTGTATTTTACATATCTGAATATATTCACTATAGCATCTGCTGTTCTCTACCTGCAGGGTCCCAAAGGCTATCCAGGACCACTGGGTCCACAGGGTGAGCAGGTAAATAACACAGAAACCATTCCTTTAACACATGTTTTTCCAAGTATGTTATGTACCACTGAGCATAAGGATCAAGAATTTAATGTCAATTACTGATTAGTTGAAGAAATGATCGATAGAGTATATTTTGTCTAGATGCTTAGCTGCCATAGAGAGATGTGCAGTGTAAAGACCTAGATAAATTAAAATAATTTGTTTTCTCCAACTATTTTGATCACCTAGTAGAACTGTGTTTTGCAGTGCTTCAGGAGGAAGCAATTCAGATTCTTTCAAATCTTTACTGACTGGAACTTAATAATACATGCTTAATCTGTTGTGGAGAAGGAGGAAAATGTCTGCACTGCTTTCTTCACACTTCCATATCAATTCAAGGGATAGCTTTCACATGAATTTTTTAGGTAACTGCTTGCTGCTACTCTGTGCGAAGATAAGCACCTACAGCTTCCAAATGTATAGTCATGGAGTAGACTTAATTTTTTTCTACACAATACTGAATGTACTGTCAGTGATAAATAAATAGTAGTGACAATCACCAAAGGGGAAAGCAAATACTGAAAGCATTATCTAAACCTTTAACTGAATTCTACACCAAGACTCAAAATGATGGGAAGATCCTACCAATAATCTCGGTTCAGTTTCACAAGTAACTTTCTGACAGATTATTACTTGTTCATGGTCAGTGGAAGAAAAACATTAACTGCAGGGGCAATTAGTTCTGAAAACCAAAGGAGCTGCAAGTGGGGAAAAATAGCAAATCCATTGGGAGGGCTTCATGGGTGAGGATACGAGTCAGATTCACCCCAAAGAACAATTTTGGCAGCAAACAAGTGTGTTCATTTCCCTGAGGAGAATCTGATATGTAAGACCTCAGTATGAAATTACTGTCTGCACATCTCAATAAAGCCATACTACTGTTATACATAATGTTTTTCTTTGTTATATTATTTTGGAAATATTTTTAACTGATTTTTAAGAGTTTTGGAAAAGGTTTATTCAACAGCTGTTTCCTGTTACTGCTATTTTTAGGCCTTTTAGAAGGTGATGCATAATCTTAAAGGATGGCATGGAAAGACTGTGAAAAATTAAAGTCAGTTTACCAACAATAGAATTTGTGATTTTTCAAAAAACTTGCCTGTCGTTTGGAATTTCCATAAACTTGCAAAGAAAAGAAAAATGTTTCTGTACATTGGTCAAGTCTTTAATTAATTGAGAAGGAATGAAAGCAAGTGTTTAAAAATGGAAATACTAAAAGAAATGGGTCTGGATTCACTGTCACGTTTGAGATGATTCAGCCAAAAATATCGAGAGCCCCCTTAACTGTTTCAAGTTTTAGAGATCACAGAGCCTGGTTTCACGGCGGACCACCCATTCATGGCCTAGCAGGGCAAGAAAGTAAAAGAACATCCTTGAACACACACACACACACACACACACACACACACACACACACACACACACACACTTTTTTGCCTCTGCTCTCATGACTCCCAGTTTTTCATAGATTTCATAGACATTAGGACTGGAAGGGACCTCGGAAGATCATCGAGTCCAGCCCCCTGCCCAAAGGGCAGGAAGTCAGCCAGGTTCATAGGATCCCAGCAAGATGAGCATCCAGTTTGCTCTTGAAGGTATTCAATGTGGGCGCTTGAACCACCTCCGGTGGCAGGCTGTTCCAGACTTTGGGGGCTCGGACAGTAAAGAAATTCTTCCTTATGTCCAGCCTGAAACGGTCTTGTAGTAGTTTATGACCATTCGACCTAGTCGTCATCCCTTGGGGCGCTCTAGTGAACAAACGTTCCCCCAGATACTGGTGGTCACCCCTGATAAACTTATAGGTGGCCATCAGATCACCCCTGAGCCTGCGCTTTTCCACGCTAAAGAGCCCCATGGCTCTCAGCCTGTCATCGTAGGGTCTGCTTCCCTGACCTCTGATCATGCGCGTGGCTCTTCTCTGGACTCTCTCAAGCTTCTCCACATCCTTTTTGAATTGTGGAGCCCAAAACTGGACACAGTACTCCAGCTGCGGCCTCACTAAGGCCGAGTACAGGGGGAGAATGACGTCCCGGGATTTGCTTGAGAAGCATCTATGGATGAAAGCCAGCGTTTTGGTCGCTTTACTAGCCGCCGCATCGCACTGC